GATTTGGGGATTTTTTGGGAATTTTTTCGGGAATTTTTTGGGGTGGGGAGGGATAAAGGGTGGGGGAGGGGAAGGAGGGGGAGGGGATTTTTTGTTTTTGGTGTTGGGGGAGGGGTTTGTGTTGGTTTTTTTTTTGTTGTTGTTGAATTTGCAGGTGGAAGACGCCGGAATTCCCGGAAAAAAAAAATATATATATATTAAAAAACAACCGGAGCTTCAACCACCGGCACGGAGGAATTCCCGGGATTTTTGGGAATCTCCGGATCCGGGGAGGTTTTGGGGTTGTTTTTCCTTTTTTTTTTTGATTTTTTTTTGGTTTTTTTGGGGATTTTTTTTTCTTTCGGGATGAGAGGTTTTCCCGACCATCCCGGATTTTTTATTGAATTTTGGTGGTTTTTTTTTTGGTGGGAAAAGGAGGAGCTTGGGAATTTCCACACCGGGAATTTTGCACTGTTCCAAAGGAGCCGGATCAGGGAGAGAGAGAAGAAGGAGAGGGGGGAAAAAAAGAAAAATTCAGGAAAAACTCGGGATTTTAACCAAAAAAAAACAAAAAAAACAACAAAAAAATTCCCACTTTTCCCACTTTTTAATTTTTTTTTTTTTAAATTTTTTTCCTTCTCGTAAAAGCCATGAGCAAAACTCCAAACTTTTTTCAGGGAACGGGAATAACACAAAATTAACCGGATGCCTTTAATCCTAACTCATTAAAAAAACAGGAAAAAAAAAAATAAAAAAACACCATTTTTATTCCTTAATTTTATTTTTTATTTGTGTATCCGGAACGGGAAATTTTTTTTTATGGATTTTTCCCGTTGCGGAATCGGCGTGGATGGAATTTTTTAATTTTTAATTTTTAATAATTTTTAATTTTTATTTTTTTTTTGGCTTGGAAAGAACGCTGGAATGATTGAGGTGAATGCCGGAATTCCCAGATTTTTTGGGATTTTATTTTTTTTTATTTTTCTTTCCCTTCACCCCCGAGTTTGACTCTTGCCTTAAAAAAAAAACAAACAAAAAAAAAAAACAACAAAAAAAAAGAAAGTTGGGACTTTTCCGCCGGGAATTTTTTCCGGGAGCGCTCGGATTTCGTGGATAATTCCCGGAATTTTTGGTTTTTTTGGGAGGGGAGGGTTTTAAAGGGGAGGGGGGAGGGGGGGGAAATCCCAAATCCTGGATTCCGTAGGCTCCGGAAAAACCCTCGGAAAAAAGAACCAAACCCAAGGACGGAGCCGGAAATTCCCAAGGATTCGCTGAGCGGAGCACAAATTTTGGGAATTCCCAAATTCCCAACCCGGCCGGGTTGGGGGATTCTCGGAATGTGGAGTTTGAAAGAATTGGGGGTGGAAAACCCTTGGATTATCCCAAAAAAAAAAACCCCACAACGAACCCCATGGAATTGTAAAGGAAAGCCCGGAGAGGGCGCGAGGACGAACTCAGGAATTACACGAGGAGGCCTTTCCCGAAATTCCCGAAGAAATTCCCGAAATTCCCGCTGCCCATCCCAAAATCCAAGTGCCGGAACCGTCGGGAAGAAGGAAAAAAAAAAAGAGGGAAAAATCCCGGAATTTTTCCCTCCCAGCACCTCCAAATCCGTCGGATTCGAGGCGGAATCCGGCGGGAAAAGAGGGGAAAAAAGGAAAGCGAGGAAAAGTCGGAATTTTCGCGGCTTTGGAAATTTTTTCGGGATTGGGGGTTTTTTTGGGAAGGGTGGGAATGTTTTTTTTGGTTTTTTTGGTTTTTTTTTTTTTTTTCCAGAGCCATTGCACTGCAAAAAAAAAAAAATTTAAAAAAAAATTTAAAATAAAATAAAATTTAATAAAAAAAAACAAAAAAACTTGGGAGAGTTCAGGGAATTCCGGACTCAGGACGACGGATCCGGAGATTTCTCGGGAATTCCGGAATTCCCGACGGAACCCGGGAGGAGGAAAATTTAAAAAAAAAATAAAATAAAATAAAATAAAAAAAAGGAGGAAGAGGAAGGAGAAAAAAAAAAAATTAAAAGCAGGAAGAGGAGAAGGAAAGGGTTAAAAAAAAAAAAAAGGATTTCAAGGAAAATTCCAGAATTTTTATGGAATTAAAAAATATAAAATAAAAAAAATTAAAAAATTCAAAGGAAAAATAATAATAAAAAAAATATAAAATAAAAATAAAATCCTAAAAAAATTCCGACGTGCCAAAAGAACAAGAAAAACCCTCGGGAAGTTGGGAATGGTTGGAATTCTCTCCCGGATCGAGGATCCCGTTTTTCCAGCAGTTTTTTAATTTTTTTTGGAATTTTTTTGGGTTCTTTTCGCTTTTTTTTGGGGGTTTTTTTGGGTTTTTTTTTGGTAGAGAAATCCGTAGGAAAAATAGGAAAAAAAAAATAGCAAAAAAAAATGATAAAAAAAAGAAAAAAAAGACTTTTTATGGGTGGGACAACCTCAAAAAAGAGGGAATTTTTTTGGGGGAATTTCCCAAAAAAAAAGGAAAGGAGGAATAAAAATAAATCCGAGAGCATTAACGGGGGTTGTCCCAGATTTTTGGTTTTTATTTATTCCATAATTACGTTTTTTTTTTAATTATTTTAAGGTTTTTTTTTGCTTCCTGGTGGGACGGAAAAACAAAAAAAAATTAAAAATAATAATAAAAAAGAAATAAAAAATAAAACCCAGGAATTTTCTCGCGGTCGAAATCATCCAAAAAAAAAAAAAAACAACAAAAAAATAAAATCCGGAAAAATAAAAAAGTTTGGATTTTCCCGGAAAAAAAAAACAAAACAACAAAAAGCAAAACCAGGATTTGAATCTTTTTAGAGCTTTTTTTTTTTTAAATTGATATTTACGCTTTTTTTTTTGGGGGGGGGGAGGTTTAAAAGGGTTAAAAAAACCCCTTTTTTGTTTTATTTTATTTTGATTTTCTTGATTCTTTGGATGGATTGAAAGCTTTTCCCGACCGGAATCCATCAGGAAAACGGAATTATGGGATGGAGAAGATGGAATTGTACATAGGGTGTAAAGCAGAGGGCAAAAAAAAAAAAAGAAGGAAAAACCACCAAAAAAATGAGAAAAAAATGGAAATTTGTGCCTTTAAAAATTCCGATTTCTATCCAAATCCGCTTCAGGAAAGGTCACATATATATATTATATATATATATGATGGAATGTTAGAGAAATTTATGGATAATATACATATTTTTTTTTCCAGGGGTATCCCATAGCTCCATATTTTGTTATGGAAGTTGCAAAAAAAAAAAAAGAAAAAAAAAAAAACGGAAAAAAAAATAAATAATGGAAAAAAAAAAAATTATTTTACCTCGACTTGGAAAAGTTCAATAAAAATCTTTTAACAGAGAAAGGGTTTGGGGGTTTTTTGGGAATTTTGGGG